ATGTTTTCACTTTTTTTTTTTTTTTTTTTGGTTTTTCGAGACAGGGTTTTTCTGTGGTTTTGGAGCCTGTCCTGGAACTAGCTCTTGTAGACCAGCTGGTCTCAAACTCACAGAGATCTGCCTGTCTCTGCCTAACAGTTTTCACTTTTATACAGAATTATTTTAATTTCAAGAGATCTGATTTGTCAACTGCTAATGTTAATTTCTGTGCTATAAGAATCTTTTAAATACATTCCATCTCCATAAGCATAAGGTAAAACTTGTTTATTATATTCTCTCTAATATTTTCAAGAGCAAAATTTATTTTACAGTCCTTTATGCAACTTGAGTTTTTTGCAGGGTGATGGAAACAGGCTCAGTTTCTTTTTTCTGCACGTTTAAATCCATGATTCCTAAGCTCTACAATATATATTTGTGCAAAAAGCATGTTGATTCATTACATAAATTTATATTTGAGTCTGCTATTTAATTCTATTGGTATATCTTTATTTTGTATTTATACCCAGCTTTTTTTTTTTTTCTACTAGGACTCTGTAGTTTAATTTAAAACAAATTATATTTGCTTCCAGGAGGCACAGTCAGAATATTTAGTCTGAGATAAAATTTGGCATTTTATATCAAAATTTTCTAATCATAGAAGTATGTAGCAACTTGATATTTTCCAAATAACCATATTCAACAAGTATTTCTTTGTTGGCCATATTGATACTGATATTATCTTTGAAAAGGTATAATATTCTTTCTTATAGAATCTGACATAATTTTGGTTCTGAAAATAATAGAGTTTATGAAAGAAAAATATTTTCTTTACACAATGTAACACTGATACTTTTAGCTCTTGACTGTCATTGTTCAAATTCAGCTACTATTAAATTTTTTTTCTATAATTTATTTATGATTCTACCATAGGCCTAAAGATCATGGATGTAGTCAATCATGGACTAAGCTCTTCTAATTAATAATGAAAAAATAAATATTTCTTGTTGTGATTTCATCAAGTATTTTGTAATGAATTTGAAATATATCTAATATAAAATGAGTAAATAAATGTTAGCAAGAGTTTGATTTCTCAAGAAAAAAATTAATGGAAATTATTATTGTTGAGAGAGAAGATTTTACACCCCCATACTGTACAGCTTATTTATTTTTCAAGGAACATGCAATATTCATTTCAAAAATTTAACGTTGCTATCAATATTTTGTTTTTCTTATCCATTCTAGCAGGTATAAGATGGTATCATAGAGATATTTCAGTGATGGCTATGGACGTTTTTCAGCCATTGTGACTTTTCTACTGAGAATTCTCTCTTACATCTTTAACCTATGCTTTAATTGGATTATTTCTCATTTTTATGTCTAACTTCTTGAGTTCCTTATACAGTTTGGAGTTCATCACTCTTTCCGATATGGGGTTGGCGAATATTTTTTCCCATTCTGTAGGTTGATAATTTTTCTCTTGATAGCATCTTCTGCCTTACAGATGGTGATAAATCTGAAAGTTTCTTTATTTAACAGAATTGCTTTAGCATTCCTGGGTTGTTATTCCATATTAAGTTGGGTATTATTTCTTGATATCGGTAAGGAACTGTATTAGGGACTTTTATGGTGACTGCAATGAATCCATAGATTATTTTTGGTTAGACTAGAAGTTTCTATGTTAATCCTACCACTCTAACACCAGAGGAGACATTTCCACTTTTTGATATATTATTTAATTTCGGTTTTCAAAGACTTAAAGTTTTTGTCAAACATGTTTTTCACTTATTTGGTTAGAGATACCCCAATATATTTTATATTATTTTTGGCTATTTTAAAGGGTATTGTTTATCCGATGTCTTTCTCAACACAATTATTATTTGTATATATGAGAGCTACTGACTTTTCATACCCTCTTGATCTCCTTTTGTTACCTTATTTGTCTAGTTAGAATTTCCTGTACAAAAGTGAATAGATATGGAGACAGTGGACTGCCTTGTCTTGTTCCTAATTGTAGTGTAATTGTTTTGAATTTCTCTGCATTTAATTTGATGCTAGATGTTAGCTTGTTGTATATTACCTTTATTATGTTTGGGTATTTTTATTGTATTCCTGCTGTTTCAAAGATCTTTCTCATGATGGGTTGTTGTGCTGAAATAGGAGTGGTGGGGCTGCGTCCCCAGCACCCCGGCCGCCTGCTAGCTCATGCCCGAAATAACAACACACAAACTGTATTCATTTAAAGACTGCTTGGCCCATTTCCATCTAGCCTCTTCTAGGCTAATTCTCGCACCTGGAATAGCCCATTTCTAATAATGTGTGTAAGCACCCCAAGGTGCGCTTACTGGGAAGATTCTAGCCTAAGTCCATCCTGGGTCTGAGCTTCATTGTGTGTGTCTCGGAAAGCAGAGCTATCTCGCGTCTGTCTGAGGAGTCTTACCTCACTTCCTCTTCCTCCTGTTTACTCCTCCCATCTATGTTTTAACCTATCAGGGCAAGCAGTTTCTTTCTTTAATTAACCAATGAAATCAACAGATTGATATATGACACTCCCACATCAGTGTTGGATTTTCTCAAAGACTCCTTCAGCATCTAATGATATGATCATAGTTTGTTTTCCTTTCAGTTTGTTTTTACAGTGAATTATATTGACAAGGAAACTTACTTGGTCCTTGTGGATGATTTTTGATATTTCCTTGGATCCTAGGTGCTAGAATTTTATTGAATATTTTTTTTATCAATGTTCATTAGGGATATTTTTTTGTAATTCTGTTTTATGTTCCATCTTTGTGTGATTTGGGTATCACTGTAACTGTAGCCTAATAAAAAGTATTTGACAATGTTTCTTTCTCTCTCTGGTCTGCAAAAATCTGAGGAGAATTGGTAATAGCTCTTCTTTAAAATTCTAATAGAATTCTGCACTAAAACAGTCTGACTCTGGGCCTTTTTGATTGGGAGATTTTTAATGATTGCTTCTATTTCCTTAGTTGTTATACATGTATTTATATTGGTTTTCTGGTCTTGATTCAATATTTGTATGTTATACCTATGAAAAACTGAACATTTCCTTCCGATTTTACAATTCGGGGAGTACAGTTTTTGGAGTCTGTTGTCATATCCCCCCTTTTTTTTCTTTTAGTTAGTTTTTATAAGCGTTTATCTATCTTGTTGATTTTTCTCAAAGAACCAACTCTTTGTTTCATTGATTCTCTATGTTATTTTCTTTGTTTCTATTTTCTTGATTCCAGCCACAGTTTGATTACTTCCTCTTATCTACTCTTTCTATATAGTTAGCTTCTTTTTATTCTAGAGATTTCAGGTGTGCTCTTAAATCACTAGTGTGAGATGTCTTCAAATTCTCTATTTATGTGCTTATTGTCATGATCTTTTCTATTAACACCACTTTTAGAGCGCCCCTTAAGTTTGAATATGTTGTAGAATCATTTTTACCAAGTATGATGATATATTTAATTTCTTTCTTTATTCTTCCTTGACACAGCAGTAATTCAGTTGAGAGTTGTTCAGTTTCCATTATATATTAGGCTGTGGTTTATGTTCCTGAACACTAACTTTTACCCATGAAATTTAATAAGGTACAGCGGTAACATAAATTGCTTTGGATCTAATGTGATTTGCCTTGTGGAGAAGTATGAGGCTCATTTTAGAGAAGATTCCATGAGGTGCTGAGAAGAAAGTATATTGTTTTATCTTCAGATAAAATTTTCTGTAGATATCTGCTAAGTCCATTTGAGCCATAACAACTGTTAGTTCCCTTATTTCTATGTTAATTTTGTGTCTGACAGACCTGTCTATTGGTGAGAGTTGGGTGTTGAAGTCTCCCATTATTAATTTGTGAGAATTGATGTATAATTTCAGCTTTAGAAATGTTTCTTTTATAAATTGGGTACACATGTATTTATAACGGAATGGATGGAATTGAGACTTCATCTGGAATGATGTCTCCTGTGATAAACATGAGATCTTCTCTGTCTCTTTTGAATAATTTTAGTTTGAAATATATTTTGTTAGATTTGCTTCTTAGGTCCATTTGATTGGAAAATCTTCCCCAAACCCTTTACTCAGACATATTGTCTCTCTTTGAATTTGAGGCTTGTTTCCTGTATGCAATAGAAGGATCAATTATATTTCTGTATCCATTCTTGTAGCCTGTGAAGTTTTATTGGCAAATTTAGTCCTTTGATAATAGATACTAATGACCAGTGATGGTTTGTAACAGCGTAAGCGAATGCAGACAGATTGTCAAAATATAGACAGCTTTAATGGAGGAATAGACTTACAGAACCACCGTTCCTGCGGAGACCAGGAAAGCAGAAGCAGCGCTGGGAGCACGCTCGCCAAATTTATAGGCAAACTTTAGCCTGAGGCAAACACGCCCCCTAAGGGGTGTGACTTATCCCTACATCTCCCCCTTTTGTCTAAATAAGACAGAACTAAACCAAATACAAATATATACAATAATAACAAATAATAAATATAACAAACAATATTGAGAATCAAAAGTTTTGCTAAACATTCTATCTCAAGGAGTCTAAATAATGTAGAGAGTAACTACAATTATATAATCTTCAACTCCATCAAAGATCCGAGAAGGGAATAAATATTACTTAACAAACGAGATATATCCAAAATGTGTAACAATTGACAAAGACAACTGACTACCTGGGCAATCACCCAAAGTCTCGTTTGCAATGTTGAGTCAACCAACTTTGGCTAAGGCCTAACATAACTGACATACCATTATTAAAGGCAAGGAACTTTTCAAAACTATCTTACCCTGTCTTGGCAGGATATGACAGTCCTGTTGTATCCATTGATGCACGCTCTGTATCTTTGTCAGTGGTTGAGGTATGGGCTTTTCTTAACCCAAAGGCCAGTTCTGCCAAGAAGACAAGCTCCCAGTGGAGTGTCTTTGGTGCTCAACGTTCTCTCGGGAATAGAGCGGTGTTGCCAGGAGCAATTGTGTCTCACTATCACGAAACTCTGAGTTATATTAAAGGCCATATTCTACAGCTCTCCAAAGAGGTTGAAGATTATCTATCTATACTGAGTATAATCTCTATATATCTAAAGAACCTGATTAGTCTAATTACAAATGACAAACTTAGATGACTATTAATCTATATAATTCTCAATATCTATCTAACTTAAAGACTAAAACAATAAACAACTGTGCAATATATGAAGACAATGATCTTCATCTGTAAACAATGTCATTACATATCAAATGTAAACAATGTTATTACATAAATAGTATCAGAGGTAGAAATGTACATTGTGATATGGTAGATGTATCAATACAATATAAGCATATTCTTATACAAAAATAGAGGTAGGAACACTCACATTCAATATTCAATATGTCAATATACAGAAAACAGTACCAATACAATTTTCTAAAAACAGTAACTCACAAATACCAATCATCCCATCAAACCAGTTAATCCCCCCCCCTTTTTTTTTTTTGAACATACCCCTAATTCCATAAAACATCTCCCCATCCCCTCAACCCCAAACCAACCACTAAAAGATGTCCCTAACCCTGAGGGCAAACTCTGTTGGGAGAGGGGACGTCGTCCTCTAAGATTGCTTCAAGCTGACATGGGGGCGATGTTCTCCTTAGGGGCTCCTGTGAAAGCAAATGATGGTAAAATTCCCAAATTAACCTTTGACCTAAGAAAATTATAACTAGTCCCTGAGCACTTTGAGAAGGTCCGGCCAGAGTGTTGTCAAAAATGTGCACCATTCGAAATTGTCTTGTGCAGTTGGTACCAAAAAACAGGTCTCATATTAGCGCGTAAAAAAGAGAAAAAGAAAAAAAATATTCATGACGTCATAAAAACCAGGTTGAGTTGATGTTGTGGGGCCCCATCTTCATCCTGGAAACTTCAAAAATTACTGTAGGGAAATTTGTTGCTTGTTATGGGAAATTTAAACATTAACAACAAGGACATATTCTGACATATAAAGAAAGACACAGATATGAGGAAAAGCAAAGAAAGTTTATCAAGTATATAATTATCCTCATTCTGTCCCATTTCATGGCTCCTGATCTGAGACAGAAACTCTGAGATATCTCTTATCAACAGGCTTGGAATTGAAGAGGGACTGAGCCATAGTCCAACTCCAAAACCAGCTCTACATATTTATAAAGAAGCGTTCAAAGAGAAAAAAGAAAATATATATATAATCAATACTTACTCATGTTACTGTTGAGTCTTAGTGGGTCGTAACTATTTTCCATCCATCAGTTATTAAATATTCAGGGTCCCTTAAATTCTTTGAAGATCAGTATTTTCCTGTGGAGATAAAAAAAAAAAAAAACCCTGCCCCCAACCTACCTGAATTCCTTACCATCAGTATGCTCGCCATCCTTGTGAATGAATTGTTATTTATCTTTTCCAAATGGCTTTTCTTCTTCATACCGAACCTTTATTAATTTTGACGGTATCCACAATTGTTCCTCACCTGTGGAGATAAGAGCAAAACCCCTTCCCCAACGCAGCACATCTCCTGGCTTCCATTGTGAGGTCAGCACATCCTTGAAATAAACTGGTTGATTTAGTTCAGTAGACTTTTCCATTATCCAATGTCTTTCTGCAGCCGTTGTCCCCTTCTCATTAGCGTTAAGAAAATTCAAGGTTAACAAAGCATTATGTAACCTATTTCTGGGGGTGTTTTCCACCCCTTTCTGTTTATTCAACATATCCTTTATAGTTCGATTTGATCTTTCTATGACTGCTTGACCTGTAGGATTGTATGGTATACCTGTAACATGCTTGATATTGTAATAGTCAAAAAACCGTTTCATTTTCCTAGAGGCATAAGCAGGACCATTATCTGTCTTTATTTGTGTAGGTATACCCATGATAGCCATGACTTCTAATAAATGAGTGATTACTGAATCAGCTTTTTCTGAACTTAAAGCAGTTGCCCACTGAAAGCCTGAATAAGTGTCAATGGTGTGGTGAACATACTTCAATTTGCCAAATTCTGCAAAGTGAAACACATCCATCTGCCAGATTTCATTCCTTTGGGTGCCCTTTGGATTAGCCCCTGCAGGCAGTGGCGTTTGGTTATAGAAAGAGCAAGTAGGGCATTTCTTTACAATCTCCTTAGCTTGTTGCCATGTGATAGAAAACCCTTTCTTCAAACCTTTGCTATTAACATGATGTTTTTTATGAAATTCAGAGGACTGTAGCACACTACCAATCAATAATTGATCAATGTCTGCATTACCTTGTGCTAGAGGTCCTGGCAGACCCATATGGGATCGGATGTGTGTTATGTACATAGGGCAAAGCCTGTTATTGATCAAATCTTTAACCTGGATAAACAATGAGGTTAATTCTGTATCATCAGGTATAAATTCAGCAGTTTCAATATGTAAAATAACTCTTTTTGCATATTGTGAATCTGTAATTATATTAAGAGGTTCTTTAAAATCCCTTAGCACCATAAGAATGGCATATAATTCTGCCTTCTAGACAGAATCATAAGGACTTTTTTCCACCTTACCCACGTCTTCTGATTTGTAACCTGCCTTCCGTGTTTTATTGGCATCAGTATAGAATGTATGGGCTCCAGTTATTGGAGCATCACGGACGATTCGAGGAAGGATCCAAGAAGTTCTCTTTATGAAGTTAAGCCTCTTGCTTTTTGGATAATTGTTATTAATATCTCCCAAAAAACTAGCACAAGCTCTTTGCCATGGTTCATTATCTTCCCATAATTTCTTTAGTTCATCAGCAGTGAAAGGCACTATAATTTCTGCTGGGTCTATGCCTGCTA